ATAGAAAAGCTTCCTTTGCTTTCTTTCTTTTTCTGAATGATGCCCTAGAGGGGCGTTTTCCTCTTTCACTCATGACTGATGTTCTGTGCCAGCTACAGTGGCTCTCAACACTCAATTGAAGGGGACAAATAAGCAGGCTGGTAGCAGGGCCTGAGTGAGGGAAGATATCAGCATCTTAAGGGCCTAACTGGCTCCTACTACTTCAGTTGACTGCCTGTTCTCCTCAAGTGGGTTCAAGGAAGCAGCAGGAAACAGGAAGCTCCCTGAGAAGCTGGTGTTAATCAGTCCAGGCTCCTGGGGGTGCTAGAGAGGTACACAAGAGGCTCCTCCTCCTCTCTCTCCCTGCAGCTCCTGCTGCTTTCTGTTATTCCCTCTCACCTTTTCTCCTGCCTGCCTGTTATGTCTCTTGTGCCCTCCTTCCTCCAGCACAGCACTCCACCATCTCTGTGCAGCTAGAGCAGAGAGAATACATCTGCAACAGCAGCAGACACAATTTTCTACACTCTGGGTCCTAGTGGCGCCCCCCAGAGTCTGGCACCTGAGGCAGCCGCCTTAGTTCACCTCATGGTAAGGCCAGCCCTGCAGGGCGGCCCTGGGCCGTTCTCGGGGCCCCTCTAGGCTCACAAAAAGCTAGTCAAGCTCCTACCAACATGAGCTAACCATTCCTAGCAATTATCATATTTGATTAATGCCACTCGGTTGTCTCTCGGTGGAGTTTATGGTGCTGGTTTTGACCTACAAAGCCTGGGAGCTGGAGAAAACCCTCTCTCCCCATGCTGCACTACTGCCGCTGAGATCAGCCGAGAGGAGGGGCACCACCATGGCCTTTGTCGCTGGGAGAAAGGTTTGCTGGTGGGGCCTTCTCCACAAAGACCCCTTGGCTCTGGAACTTTCTCCCCATACCGCTGACCTCCGGCGCATGCTTTCAAACCCAAGGTGAGAACGGTGTTCTGGGTGCAGAGTGATTGGGGATATTTTGCTGCTCTTCTTACTGGCTGGTGTGTTAGTGTATGCTGGTGTGAAACACTGCTGGGTGGCATTCTTCCATGGGCCATATGTTGGTTTGTTGTTAGGGCACCTAGGGCTCATGTACAGGCATTTCTTGTCATTGAAATCAGAAGAACCAATACAAATGCCAGACCTGAGTTAGAAATGTGAAGGCTCCAAGGAGTTCTGGTACTGGAGGTGCCGGTCTTCAGCTAAGCTATTCAACCGAAATGTGGTTTGCGCTATGGAGTGAAATGGAAAGCCCGCCCTACCGGTGTTTGGTCTGTGTTTAAATGAGGAGACAGCTGTCACCCAGGTGCCTGCACTCATGGATTCTTTTGCCCAGATATCAGCGCAGATGGGCCTGCGATCACTGTCTCCTGGTCACGTGGCTGCTGGCCCTGTTTGGAGCACGCAGCCACCCCACTACCTGTATGTAATGAGATGCTTTGTAGTGCGCTTGGGTGCCGGATCATGTGCACGGAGCCAGGGAAATACAAATGGGCATGGATACCAAGTCACTCTGGCAGCAAGGTGGGAATGGAACAATGCATTTTAAGGCGTTTGATGCTCATTTAAACATTTGGCCTTGAAATTCCTCAATGAACTCAAAACGCTTGAGGCTAGAGTCACAAAAGGACTTAGGTGCTTAACTGCCACTTTAGGTGCACAAAACCCTGCTCAGCTGCCACCAAACCTGTCGGTGCCCACACTCACTCGGCACCTACATCTCTGCAGTAAAAATCCTAGGCGCCTCTGATCTCATGTGCAGCAGCCCCATGCCAGGTGTCCAGGTGCCTGAGCACTGCATGAACTGGCATGCCTAACTCGCCGTCGCAGCCCAATCCAGCCTGTGGGGCTCAGAGCTTGCCCTATAGGTGAGCTTACGCTGAAGGGTAGGAGGAGCAGGCTCACCCTCATAACCATTAGCCTAGTGGTTAGGGTACTCACCTGAGATGGGGGAGACCCTGGTTCAAGTCCCTGCTCTGCTTGAGAGGACGAGGGGATTTGAACAGGAGTTTCCTAGCTCTCAGGTGAGAGCGCTCATCAGTGGGCTATGGGGTATTCTGATGTGGGACTCCTTCCGTCTTGCCTGCAGAAGTGTGGATAAATAACTAGCGAAGTCACTGGGAACAGGCAGGATCTCCCAGGTGAGTGCTCTAAGCACCAGGCTATGGCATCATGCACGTGATGGTGCTCTCTCTGGTCCAATGGTTCTCTGAGACCAGCCTGTCTCCCTTAGGGGGCAGGACCTATTACACCCTTCTCTGGTCAGCATCTCCCAGTCAGGTTGGGTGGGTCCATGCGCTGGCTTTGGTGGATCCCATTCTAAGGTGCCTCTCCCTCCCTGGTCATTGACCTGGGAGCCCAGGTGCTCAGCTCAGCCTTTGTGAATCCCAGGGCATTTGAAGGCCCCCTAAAGTTAGGTGGTGTGACGCTCAGTGCTGCCATTTCTTTGGGAATCTAGCCCCTGAGGTTCAGACTCTTTTATGGGACAGATTCCAGTGCAAGGGAAGGGGGAAGGCGCAGGGACCCCTGCCTGTTTTGCACACCTTTCCAGGAGGCAGCCAGAATCCTGCTGCTTGCCTGCCCACAGCACAAGGTGTGAGGTAATGTTACTGTACTAGCAGTGCTGTGCACCAATGGAGATGTGATGGGAGGAGCTGGGCCACTGCCCCACCCTCTTCCTGCTCATAGACTGAGGCCAGTGCTGGAAGAAGCACATACTGCATCCTTTCAACTAATGAGTGTAGCTCCGGCATGAACCTCCTCACCAACCCACAGGCATTGCACCTGTGTCTGTTATGTGTCGGAGGAATACCTCTAGCAACTGCCACTCTCTGCAGAGCACATGCAGACACACACCTGACTACAGCGATGGATTAAATAGCTAGACTATGAGATGTTATAGCTGCTGGAGAATCAGAAATACCTACATGTGCATTCCTCCCCAACTGAGCTTATCAAATTGCAGTGGGTGCCATGTGCAGCACTACAGGAGAAAACATGGACACATCTGCCTAACACATTTGTGGCATCAGGAGCAATGCTGACCACACCCGCTAAGCTCAGCTCGGACAGGAGCATTACAAGCAGACTGGTTGAACAGTAGGTGCTAGCCCAGTAGCAGGGTTCCTGAGGCAGAATAAAGGAAACCTGGCACGTGTGTGTTTATAGGTGTGCGTTTGTGAGAGACAGAGAGAGAGTGGGAAAGAGCAGGAGCTCATATGGAAAAGTTATATATTTCCCATGTGTTATAATGCAAACATGTATTGCACAGATATTGTAGCTAGTTTTTATCCTGGTATTTTATACACATGTAATATATTAAATATGTGCTATACATTTTGTAAAGTATAAAGTTGTTAGAAATAGGATAGCGATACAAAGACAAAATTGTGGAAGCAGAAAGCAGGGCTGGCAGGGCCGCCCAGAGGGGGGGGGCAAGTGGGGCAATTTACCCCAGGCCCTGGGCCCCACAGGGGCCCCCAGGAGAGTTTTTCGGGCCCCTGGAGCGGGGTCCTTCACTCGCTCTGGGGGCCCTGGAAAACTCTCGTGGGGCCCGGGCCCCCGGAGCTTCTTCCGCTCCGGGTCTTCGGCGGCAATTTGGTGGCGGGGGGGTCCTTCCGCTCCGGGACCCACGGCCGAAGTGCCCCAAAGACCCGCAGCGGGGGGGTCCTTCCGCCCCGGGACCCGCCGCCGAAGTGCCGGGTCTTCGGCGGCAATTCGGCGGCGGGGGCCCAGGCCCCCTGAATTCTCTGGGCGGCCCTGAGGGCTGGATCTGAAGAACAACAGGTAAGAGCCCAGGACCCACCCATGGCAGATTTGTCCAGAAAAGTGGGCTGGAGATGTATGGGTTTTTTCATATTACAAGAGGTAAATTAATCTTAGGGAGAAATGGAATCATTTTGCAACAGGAATACCTTCCGTTTATAAAAAGCATTGGGGAATTCAAAACCTCTCAAGCAATGCATCAATCAATGGGGATCTGTAAAAAAACCAGATCGGAAAGTTTTGTGGATGATCCCAGATTTTTCAGACAAAATGGAAAGAGCGGAAGGGGATCAAAAGCCCAGGATTAGCCTAGAAGCTCATGCAGGGAACCCAGGGAGAAAAACAGAGTCAGAAGTCAGAGCTCGTTGGTAGCAGAGCTGCACAGATATTTATTGAATACAAACAATGGCAAACACAGCAGGCTCACAGAGATTTGAGCTTCCTGAGCTAAGTCCAAAATTCACTATGGGCTATTGTCTTAAGAATACTTTTAGAGGTCCCTGTGGCTTTGAATTGGATATCACTATATCCCCCACCCACCCCACTCCCAATTACTTCTGAGTTAAAAAATAAGACTGAATTTTTTTCTTCTTTCGTTAGTAATAAAAATGGCTTGTTTGGACCCTGCCATGTTGGAAAGAATATATTGTGTGTGGGAACCAATGGGGACTCATGGGTGTATTCATTGGCTCCTGCACATCCTGCTTCCAAAATTACATGGGGTAAACCATGCCACATTCTCTGGACATGGATTCAAGGTTTAAAAGGTGAGCCGGGACAAGCAAAATGAAAAATGGACATTTCAATGGGATAATTGTGAGCAGAGTATTTCAAAGCAAGCACAGCTCTAGCTGGCATCATAAATCATACACTACAGTAAATGCTGTTAAAATGTCAAAATAAAACATTAAAATAGCTAAGCTAAACTGACACCAGAGACCAAGCCTTCTTCTGAAGTCTCACCAATGGAAACCCCCCAAAAGGTAGTTAAAGTAATTAACACTGGACTTTGAAAACATGGACAGGCCTGGGACCATAAATAAAGAGTTCAGGAGCAATATCAGGAGCACAGTATGGAATATATAAAGAAACTTTGTGTGTGTGTGTGTGTGTTAGTAAAGAAAAAGTATCTATGGAGGTAAAGGGAAGGCAGTAAAAATACAGATTGTACAAGCCGGGTGAAGTGTCATTGGCTTGAGAGGGTCAGGTGATGCAGAATGAAGGATGATGGGTAGAAATTAGAGTGCGCCCATTCCAGTGACCTCAGACGTCAGCCTAGAATAGACAAAGGGGAAAGGGGAAAGGGGAGAGATAAAAACAAACAGCAGGATTAGAAAAGAAAATGAAGATTTTGTGGCATACTCACAAGTCCTCTTTTCCGCTGTCTCCTACTCACTCTTCCCTTTCTGCCAGTGCAACCTGCCAGCTAAAGTGGTCATTCACCAGCCTGGGAGTGACACCACAGTCAAGACTGCATTTTAAAATGGGTCTAAACTGGAGGCAATAATGTCTGCTGGTCTCCAAGAGCAGGTGGCCAATCAGTGAAATTTCCCACAAGGTTAGTTTTATGCCTGTTGAAATGTCGAGGTAGCCTCTTTGGTTTCTTTCCATAAACTTTTAGTGGGAAGTCTCTGAATTGGGACTCCAGATGGCTGCTTTCCTTGGCACCCCTGCTTTCATTGTTGACCAACATCTCTTAAAAGAGATGGTCAATCTACACAAAGTGCAGTAGAAAGGTGACCCTTGAGATGTGGTCCAGTGTGTGTGGGGGGGGGGGGGTTCAAAAAAAAAGAGAGAGAGAGGTTGGACTAGAGTGATTTTTAGACATAATTCACATAATGAATTGAAGTTTATGGCACTGTGCATACAAGCCTGATATATATGATCCTGGGCACATGCAAGCCTGATTAGTTGGTGAGGAGGGACCTTGAGATCACCCAGGCCTGACTGATTGGCTGGGCACACAAAAATCATTTCCTGTCTGGAATTATCAGTGATTATCCTACAGTGCACGAGAACTCATGCACAGATGCTGACAGATAAAATATTTTCCTTCAGCTGCTGCACTTGTACTGTCACAAAGGTCTGCATCCCCCACACCTATGAAGCATTACAAACCTTGGAAATGAACGCACACCGACTCCATTGTGAAGCAGCGAGGGTTGCTACCCACACAGCACACTTGACATAAGCCCACAACAACATGTAGATGAAAAGTTAAGCCACCTAACAGTACATACCCTCTACTCTTCCTCCGAGGTGCGTACTTTGCCACTATCATATCTCTTGTACACCACAGACCCCACAACCTTAACTCTGCCCCCCTGGATGCTAGCCTTCCAGCACCCCCTTTTGCACATGACCCTTTGCCAAATTACCCTCTCACAACACAAACAACTACCATGCCCAAAAACCTCCACCCACAACTACTAGTGTTGGGGGGGAAATAATCTGGTAAAGAGTGTGTGTAGAAGGACATAAGAAGGGGGCAGAATTAAGGTTGTGCTATGTGGCCAGTGATGTACAGATCCATTGAGTGGCTTAACTTTTCATTTCCTTGCTTTTGTGAGTTTGTGTCCAGGTGTAGTGTGTTCGTAGCAACCCTAACTGCATCATAACAAAGGGGTTTATATATTACATTTCCTTTTGGTCTTTTCACATTGCCATAGATTTTAAAAAGTTGTGAGAAAATGATTTATTAACAATTTTGCTACATCCCAACTCCATCTCTTTCTCTGTGCTATTCGCAGCTGGAATTCAGATTGCCTAATAGTTATTATTAATAACAGCCCCACCTGCAAAGAAAGGAGAGTTTGTTTAAAGAGGCACTTAAAGTTAAAAGAAAGTTCTATGCCAGCAACTCAGACATGGTTTTCAAATGTGGCTTTGCAGCTAGGCAAGGACAGACATTTCATAGGAGGCTTTAGGCAGTGTGCTAGTCTCTGCTCAAGGGAGACCTGGGACTTGACCAACAGAGGTGCTACAGGTCAGAATGCAGGTGCTGTGGCACAGCAGAGTGGGAAGGAGGGTTTAGGATAGAAGGGCAGAGGTTGGGACAGGTCAGAACTGAGGTTAGTTGGCACAGCCTCCATTATGGCAAGAACGCTCACACAGACCCTGCTTGCACTATACCTGAGCTAGCCAGTGCGATCAGTCCCTCGCCTGGATGAGCACCAAAGTCATGAAGTTACTAAGAGAAGAGCACTTCTCGGGGGGCATTCTTACTGCAGGTTCATCCTGACAGTGTGATGGGGCAGGTGGAGAAGGTAATAAATGTGACGGGTAAATGCTAAAATCCCAGTGACCTCTCATGATTGGCTGGCATGATACAGACTCTGCCCTGTGTGGAAAGATTTGATAGTCAATCTAGCTGTATGAACCCCTTCTGCAACTGGTCCCTTTCTAATGTTAATGTGATGCATTGTTCAAGGGGCTCGTAAATAGAAAACTATCACATTTCCTGTGAGGTCCGGTCCACCCTCCCCATCTCACCACCTGTGCATTTGTATGCAGACACAAAAAGTCTGACTAAATCCAGCCCCCTCCCCTTTTCCTCCTCGAGACTCAGTTACAGCTTGCACTCTGGGATAAACTCAACCAACCACACCCAATTACAGCCCTCTTAAAAAGCATGTTCTACACAATGGTCCATACTTGCACGTTCACGTTTGCACGACTAGGCTTTGCTCAGTGCATCCTTGCCCCCCGGTGAACCATAGACACTGTTATGACTCCAGTTTGGGTCAATGTTAATAGTGAACATTCACCATCAGCTCAGCTACTAATTATCTTCATGAAATCTTCGGTCTCAAATGTATTGCATGTGTGCTATTATTAAAAGAAAATAAACAGGCGGTTTCATTTTTTCTATTTATTGGTCTAATTTGTTTGAAAGAGGAAGACATTTCTGAGTCTTGGAAACACATAAAAGAGGCACCTGGGACTTAACATTTAGCATTTGTTGTTCTTTATATTTTTGTCATGTGAACAAAGGGGCTAAATGAACTGTTTTCAATTTATGCCCTCTCCCCCAAAACAAATAACTTGCCACACCCTGGCTGAGAACTCGCCATGCTTTTGAGGGAAAATAATATTACAGCCTAATTATAAACTCCTGCCAACAAGGGTACAACTATAGAGATGTTAACAGCCCCATAACTAGAGCAACACATAAGCTGTGGCCCTGAGTTCTAACACTGAGAAAATGGCTGAGTTGTCATTAGGAAGGTTTTCCTGGGAGAAAGGCCCAAATCGATGATATAATATTCCCACTCACTTTGAATATCATCAAACAATAAAATCACCAGTGTGTTCACTTCATGCAGTGCCCTGAAACCTAATGAAATCACTCCCATGAAAGTAATGCTTGGAGTATACATTACTGTCTGAGTTTTGTATGACTTATTCAATTGGCCTCTCTCTTTACAGGGAGGTCATGAGACTGCAGTGGATGAATGTGGCCTTGATTAGCACATCTCACCTGGCGTTGATGAGGTACTGGGCAAGGCTGATGTTAGCTGGGGTTCCTGTGATGGTAATTTGACGTTCCGATGAGCCTTCTGTGGCATTGGCGATTTTGATCTGCGCTCCAGACATCTGTCGAATTTCATTGATTTTGGTCCCTTGGCGTCCGATTATGCAGCCTATTAGCTAGAAAAAAGTATGGAGGGAATTTCTTAAAGCAGATCCTCAGGCAGTAACTTGCAGGATGCAAGCATGATCACACGGTGAAGTTCATAGGGGTTGTCAGACAACTCATCATTTCTGCTAAAGGATGTGAGTGACTTTAATGCTCATGAAGGCAAGAGACTAAAAGCACTGGTTTAAGCCATAGGTAATATGAGCAATTTCCTGCCCAAAGCTCTGCCATTGTAAGTTCATCCTGACCTGCAATAGCCTGGTGCTATTTCAGTCCTTTGGTTCTCTTGAGCAGAGACTGCTAGTTGCACTGAGATTATGCCAACTAGTGCTGAGGGCTAAGATATAGACATATAGCACTATGTCACCAAACTCATTTTCAGTTGTGTCCTCAGCTGGTTGGAATGTATCAGAGGTGAAAGGCTATCTATCTGCATTGTGATTTTAATGTGTGGGAGAGTTACGGAGTTTAAAATGATGTGTTACTGAACTTCTGCCAAATCACCAAAGACATCATCTACTTCTGCATTCTCCTTCACTTTCTTTTAATAAGAGTAGCTACACTTCGAATCAGCATGAACGGGTCTGTCCTGTCCCTGACACCTTCCTGGGTCAGTCTGCCTCTCCACATTGAGTCAATCCCATGATAAGCAGATCCTAGAGGTCTCGATCTAAACAGGTCTGAAGTGGCCTGAGCTCACAAAGGTGAATGTCAGAGAGAAGGTGGCGGTATTTATTTTTGTGCTAGTGAAAGATAGCAGGTTGACAGCACTAGAGCCTGACATTCTCTATTCCTAGAGAAGATACATTACAGATATATGCTTCACACGGTTCCTCAGCCCTTTTTTGGAAAGGTCAGCTATAGGGATGAGAAGGTCGGTCAGGTCTCCGTTCCCATGCACTTGATAATGTCTCACATCAGACTGCCCTCAACGGTTAGGTGTTTACAGAAGGAATACCAGTCTACTTATGACAGCAGTGAGATCACAAACTTCCTTTGCATAGACCCCCAAGGGAGAAATTTATCAACAGTAAGAGGAAAGAATAGATAAACAAAGTGAGGGGGAAAACTGAGAACCAGGAAAGTGAGAGGAGGATTTCTGAATGTTGCTGGGTTATTTTTCAAGAAAATCAAAACACTGCCAGAGTGGCTACTTTAAGGTACAGAAGTAAGGAAAGCGTGTCTATCTCCAGAGCTTCACCACTGTGTTAGAAGCAGTCAAAGAGAGCTAACTAACTTTGGGCCTGAGAAGTGGTGGTGAGGTATGCTAAGGAGATTTGCAGTGACCTGGTCACATTAAATATTCAGTTTTTCTGCCTTTCATCAATGGCATTCCCTCAGACATGGTGAATGACATGAGAAACAGACAGAGGGCAAGATTAGGAAACTCAGAATGGTGACACTTTACTGAAGCTCTGCTCACAATCCTGCAGTACCTGAATTTCATTGTTTCAGTGCTGAACATTTTAGCAGAAACAGTTAATGGCCTCATTGGGCTTCAGAGCTAATGCATCATTGAGCTAACTAGGCATTGTTCACACCTGGTAAAGTGACTGCTGTAGCCTACCTGTAGATTTCACAGGACAACACTGTGTATATTCATTAGAGCTCTCAAGCGATTAAAAAAATTAATTGCGATTAATCACACTTTTAAACAATAATAGAATACCATTTATTTAAATCATTTTGGATGTTTTCTACATTTTCAAATATACTGATTTCAATTACAACACAGAATACAAATTGTACAGTACTCACTTTATATTTATTTTTTATTGCAAATATTTGCACTGTAAAAAAAGAAAAGAAATTGTATTTTTCAATTCACCTAATTCAAGTACTGTAGTGCAATCTCTTTATCATGAAAGTTGAACTTAGAAATGTAGAATTATGTACAAAAAAACTGCATTCAAAAATAAAACAATGTAAAACTTTAGAGCCTACAAGTCCACTCAGTCCTACTTCTTGTTCAGCCAATTGTTCAGACAAACAAGTTTGATTACAATTTGCAAGAGATAATGCTGTCTTCTTCTTGTTTACAATGTCCCCGGAAAGTGAGAACAGGCATTCCCATGGCACTGTTGTAGCCGGCATTGCAAGATATTTATGTGCCAGATGCGCTAAAGATTCATATATCTCTTTATGCGTCAACCACCATTCCAGAAGATGTGTCTATGCTGATGACGGGTTCTGCTTGATAATGATCCAAAGCAGTACATATAGACACATGTTCATTTTCATAATCTGAGACAGATGCCACCAGCAGAAGGCTGATTTTCTTTTTTGGTGGTTCGGTTTCTGTAGTTTCTGCATTGGAGTGTTGCTCTTTTAAGACTTCTGAAAGCACGCTCCACACCTCGTTCCTCTCAGATTTTGGACAGCACTTCAGATTCTTAAACCTTGGATTGAGTGCTGTAGCTATTTTTAGAAATCTCACATTGGTATCTTCTTTGCGTTTTGTCAAATCTGCAGTGAAAGTTCTTGAAACGAACATGTACTGGGTCATCATCCGAGACTGCTATAACATGAAATATATGGCAGAATGCAGGTAAAACAGAGCAGAAGACATACAATTCTCCCCCAAGGAGTTCAGTCACAAATTTAATTGAGCATTATCAGCATGGAAGCATGTCCTCTGGAATGGTGGTCATGAAGGGGCATACAAATGTTTAACATATCTGGCACATAAATACCTTGCAATGCCGGCTACAAAAGTGCCATGCCAATACCTGTTCTCACTTTCAGGTGATATTGTAAATAAGAAACAGGCAGCATTATCTCCTGTAAATGTAAACAAACTTGTTTGTCTAAGTGATTGGCTGAACAAGAAGTAGGACTGAGTAGACTTGTAGGCTGTAAAGTTTTACATTGTTCCATTTTTGAGTGCAGTTACATAACCAAAAACAATTCTACATTTGTAAGTTGCACTTTCATGATAAAGTGATTGCACTACAGTACTTGTATGAGGCGAATTGAAAAATACTATTTCTTTTGTTTATCATTTTTACAGTACAAATAATAATATAAAGTGGGCACTGTACACTTTGTATTCTCTGTTGTAATTGAAATCAATGTATTTGAAAATGTAGAAAAAATCTAAAAAGATTTAATAAATTTCAATTGGTATTCTATTGTTTAATGGTGCGATTAATTTTTTTGAGTTAATTACGTGAGTTAACTGTGATTAACAGACAGCCCTAATATTCATATTTAGAAAGTTAACCTTACAACCATGAGGACTGAACACTTTTTAAAGCTGAAGTGCTGGTATAGTATTTCACTGTCTCAGCTCCACCTGAACTCTGAATGCAAACACTGAATCATTCATTGACAGCAAAGTTAATTCTAGCCTGCAGGTGGTTCACTGTGCCTGCAGGAAGGGAGATCAGCAGTTGAGGTATAGGTTGCACGGCTTTCCACAGAATGAAAGGATTTTCCTTACAATATAACCCCACTCTGGCATTTTGATCTAGTCCTGTATAAAGAATCCAGTACTGGATGCAATTACCAGGTCAACCACAAAGTTATGAACACAAAGCTTCGATGTGTTATGATGCAGCTTGGAATTTGCAGTATTCGAAGAAAAATGCAAATATCCCCCTCATAGTCACCTGGGAGTGCAGGGTCTGGCTCATTTCCAGCTGAATGGCACTAATACATTTCTCACTAACACCACCCACATTTTTTCCTACTGGAAATTTGTAGTCAAATTCAGAGTCAATTGCCTCAGGTGTGGAGTCCAGTAAGTTCAGAGGTAAGAGAAGTCCCCTGTTACTGGGTGGGTATGCTGCTGTTCTAAATGTTATCAGTTCTCAGTCCAGGAGTATTTGCTCAAAGCACGTTCAACCCCTGAGCCTCTTCAGGACCAACACTGATAATCGTGCTGAAGATGTCAATAGTGTGTACACTGGCTTGGTAAAATGAGTCTTGATCAACTAATGGTGGAACAAAGTTCTCCCACCTCATTCCAGTTAGGACCTGAAGTTAGAATTGAACGGAGCTCCTGGATTTTATCCACTCACAGGGTCCCTCCATACCGGCTAGCGCAGAAGGGCTGGCTGGGGGAGGCTGACCCCAAGCCCCACCCCTTCCACCCTAGGCCCCGCCCCTTCCACCCGAGGCCGGGCCCCTGTACCAGTAAGCCTTTTATGTTACTTTCTTCCCTGACTCCCTGTCATTTGTGTGTGCAAATTATAGTATTTGCAAGAGCCAACAGGGCTTGTGTGTACAATCAATTAGCTGTCTAATGACTTGATTCGATGTATGTCAGTCTCATTTGTGTGTGCACATTCCATTTGGGCATGCAAATTTAAGTTCACTTTCAAGAAATTTGCCTTGAAATTCTGTATTTCATTCCTCTGTCACAATCTGTATAACTGGTGACAGCTTCTTATAAGAATGTTTATTCTTCTTTTATCACATTGAAGACACAGTAATAGATCTTACAATGATTTGCTCCACTTTGCAATTAGATTTAATATATGAATACCGCTTCTATTACAGTGCAAATTTCCTCTTATTGCCGACTTCTCAGTAAGTGGAGGAGAATGGCTGCTGAGGGAGTATGATTAGGAAAGGGAATCCTCACTGGTAACCTATGCTATGTCTCCTTCCTCTTCTGTGGCCCTATAGTACATAATACTAGCATTACCAATGGAGCAATATGAAGTGGGGGTAAGTGAAGAAGGTGAACAGAGTTATCCTGGTGAGAGAAGGCGGCACAGAGAACATTAGGCCACTAGAATTCCTCTTTAAAATCTCACAGGAGGCTCCTCCACCAACGAAATGCTTCTTAGCTCGGAACACTAGGAGCCAACCATAGAGATAATTATAACATCACTTCATACAACATCATTCATTTAACAGGATGGAGCACCATATCCTGGAATGCAGAGACTCTGAAAAGGACATGGGGTCCTGGTGGAAAACCTGCTGATGTGGAAAACCTGTGTGATGCTGCAAAAAGGGCAAACATGATTCTAAGATGTATAAGCAGAAGACCATCGAACAG